CCAGGATACAGCAGTTACATTTAATTAAGATTACACTGTATTACGTTTTAATAACATAATTGCCATAAGAGTATACAAATTAACTATCAATTAGTTGTTAATTAACATGCATATTAGCAGTATATTGGCTCTTTATTAGTCATTATAAAACACTTATTAATTCCTTATTCTACATGACCATATTCTACAAGTAATAAGCCATTAGTTGAGAGTTTTTCCTCAATAACCCTCTAATTAGTGCTTATTTATTGCAAGTAAGGAAGTTGTTATACATGAGTTTTGGTCTTGATATGCTCTGCTCAATGTGGGCCGAATAAGGCAGTAGTACCACAAGAATAGTAATTCTCCCATAATAACACTTATACACAAATATTATCTATTCTTATGTAACAAGACATGAAACTATAAGTGTTAATTGTGTCTAAATAACTCAAAATTAGTTTAAACGTGATCTGTCTCTTCAATTTGAGTCAACCACAGACCTTATTTCGAGGGATTTTCCAAAATCCTATGGAGAAACTGCAGTGCTTGGCGAATGAACCGGAAGTGGTAAAATGCTAACTTACTTCCGGGTTTTAGGACCCGTCACTGTGGCACTCTATTGTCCCACCTCTAAACGTATCACGTACAATGTGTTGGAGGCAAACCCCCGGGAAGTGCGCCAAATGTACTAGAGACTACATCTCCCATGATGTCATTTTGGCCCCATAATTATTTTTCCCATTGACTTACATTGAAAAAGCGAAATAAACTACCTAGCACCAACACTTTCATAACCCTTGATTGAATCATTAGAGAGAAATCCCAAAAAGTATGATAGGGCCTATTTCAGTAAAGTTTTGAGATACTTGTACTTTACTTGAGAATGTATATGTTATGCTTCTTTGTAGTTTCTCTCGACTACATTTTGAAAGCCAACAACAAATTGGCATAATTGATACTCCCTTCTTTTGGTCATTGAGTATATGTTTGATGGCAATTATACATTAACCTGAGTAACATTTTTAAATGCTGGACGTTCACTTGTAAAATATTCATTCTTCTTTTACTAAAAGAGGCCCTATTTAGGTTTTTGGGGCTTCCCTTTACTTTACGTAGTTTGTTATATCGTTTTTTGTGCATGTAAAATTGTTTACTTCTGTAACATAGTGACATCACTAACAATTGTTCTTCTATTCGTTAGCGTTCCAACACATTCTACGTGACATTAGCATAATACGTTAAAAATCGGAATAAAGAAAAAAAATAACAGGTAATACATAACACAAATTATTCAGCACGACTGCAAACAAGAATCTCAAAGGTCAGCTGAGTTTAGATCAGAGGAGTTTCAGCAGCGCTCAAATGAAGGCCATCGCCAAGACAAACTGACCATGTGCTTGAAACTTTAGAGCTGTAAACTAGATAAAAAAGCACACTGAAAAACTCCGGCACAAACATCACTTTCATTAAGTAGTGAGGAGCAGAGTGGAGCCAAGCGCGCTGCGGAAGATTCATTCACTGTGATGTCCGCTCAGGCAAATCTCTACGACCTCAAAATAGAGAGGACCCCATTAATCAGCTGGGCAGCAGTGGGCCAGTCTATTGGTTGACGGGAACATCCATCGCATGCAAACTACATCTGGGTGATAACGAAGGATGATGGCAGAGAACATTAAAATGGGCTGCGCTGCTCAGCAAGAGCCAAATTATTAATCAGATACTGATATACTTAGTGACGACAGCTTTTCAATCAACACCCAATCTTCACTTTTTAATCTTCAGCTCCCTTTGTTTTGCTTATTTTCTTTGACGGTAACTGATGCTGGACATTCAAATCAATTACTCTGTGACAAGAGACATTTCTTTCTAAAATGTTACGCCAGTGAACTTTAAACAATCGCGACCCGGTTTGGCCTTTGTGGTGTTAACACTAGAACTGCCAACGGGTACATTTTACCCGCAGCTGTTTCTTGATTGTATGTAACTTTTTTTCAATAAAATATTCAAGTCTCCCATTCTGTGACTTTTCCTGGAATTGTGTTATGTAGATAGATATAGATATATATATATAGAGAGAGAGATAGAGAGAGAGAGGGATAGATAGATAGATAGATACAGTAGAGAGACAACTGCTTACTTTTCGCACTATTAAGCCATGCTAACATTTTTGAAATGGTAGCCAAGGTTATGTATTTTCTGCTTTCCTTCTCTCCCGTCCTTAGTTGCAGCTAAGCATAAACACAACAAATATAGCTGCTAATTTTGCAGGTTTTTAAGGATTTTCAAAGTCTTTTCTAACAAATAAAAAAAAAAACGTAAACATTAAAAGCATGTTTCGTGGATGTTTGTTAAGATCCCCAGTTCCTCCCATTTACATGTCAAAATGTATTTCAGGATGCAACTGTGAAAAGCACTGGATAATAATAATAATAATGAATAATAATGCATTTTATTTATAGATTGCTGGAGTAAAAATAAAAAAAACATAGTTAAAAAACACCTGATGCAGTCCATTCAGGGCTTACTCAGGAACAGTTTGCCCTTCATTCAGTTAAGGATGCTAGAAGCATGATGAGCTAATGAATAGCAGTGCTGACTTTCATGCAAGACAATTCATGTTGAGAATATTGTTGGCTTTTTATTTCCTGTAACCTTAATCTTCTCTAACCCTACCATGTAGTTGTTGGTACAGTGTACCCAAGAAATAGTATGTACAGTTTGTGAGCATGATCACAGCTTAAAGGCAATGTTCTTTGGTTATCTGTGAATTAAAGGTCCATTCAAAAGGCTAAACAGACCAGTGTTTCCCAGAGGAGCAGCAAACAAGGCCATGGATGCACAAAAAGCAGGGGGGAAAAGTGCACGTGTAGCTGTGTGGGTGGCAGACAGACAAGAAGGCTATCAGAAAGGTTATAAGTGTACACTGTAACTTTAACAAGCGATTTAAAAAAAAAGCAAAAGAAGGGAGAAAGAGCTAAATGACGGAAGAAAAGCTCGAGTTTTCTCCAGTCCTTCAACAACAACCCTAACCCTAATTGACCACTGTCATTGTGATAATAGAGTAAAACATTTCAAACATAAAACACTCTTTCTTGAATGTCTGGTGATATAATGTGTCATATCTTTCACAGGAATGCAACATATATTTAATTTAAGATCTGTATTGGTAAAATACAGCCACTTAATAATTCCATTACTTCTTTAATGGTGGACCGGGAGTACAATCATCGGAAATGAAATAATGCTCTGATGAATGAGCTCTGGTTACATGACAAATGGCCTTCAGGGGAGCAGTAAATACTTTACAGAGAAGCCATAACTCTGAAAAGATGTTATAAAGAAATACAAGAGGATTAAAACACTGTACAAAAGGATTTGATCATTAAGTTATTGTAACTTTTGTCTTTAAGTTATTTTCACTTAATATATACATTTCTACTTAATTTCACAAGTTGTTATTATTTCAACTCAGCTCTGTAAGCCAGTTCAATGAACTCTAAATTCTATGAAGTCAATTTGACTGAACAGTGTGAGTTGTGATCAAGCGGCAAACTCTGTGGAAGAGCCGGGACGCCAATACGGAAGTGGCACACACTGCAGTTCATTTATTGGCCGATAGGGACTGACTGCAGAAAGGAGCAATTTCCATAGACCCCATGTTAAAATGCCCAACTTTACAGCAGAAAAAAACATGTTTCTACCGATGGATGCAATAAATATTATTATGAATATAGCTAGATTCCACCTTCATCTTTATGGAACAGATGGTGCATGAATGCAGTTTTGCGGTAAGTGAAATTTGAGTACTTATTTATGAGGTCTTAAAGTCTTTGCATAAATTAGGGCGTGGTCACATTGAGTGACGGCTCTGTGAAGTGACTCCTGCTGTTAGCTTCTTGTCTCTCTGCTAGCTGCTCCGTGAAGCTACAGGCACTCTGCCTGTTCAGCTCATCCAGGGAACACAACTTGCCCCCGGCCGTTTGTTTGTTCTTCATGCTTATATATCGGACTATTGTGACTCGCTCTGCGGTTGAAACAGACGGTGCATGAATGCGGTTTTGCGGTAAGTGAAATTTGAGTACTTATTTATGTGATAATGATTTTAATCAGCTACGTAATTAATGTTACGGCTTGGGTTAGCGTGTAAGCCAGTGGTAGCTACATCGGTGCTAACGATGCTAATAGTAGCCTCCAAGTTAAAATCATAGACTATATATAAACGTTAAAACGAAATAGACAAGTGTTAAGTGGGATAATACTGTACAACAAACGGCTTCTGATTGAGGTTGATAAAATAAGGTCATCCTTGTAACTTAGAGAGATGATTATTATGTAGGTAGGAACTGTATGCATCACTAAGGTTAATTTAAATTGGCTATGCTCAAGTATGTAGACAACTAATGTCGAAGTAGTGTATGTGAAATCAACCTCACAATAAGATGTGTGTATATTACAATTATTAATGTCATATTTCAAGATGATTACTTAGATATTACAATATGGTTGGTTGAGCTGGAGTTCATTATTGAGCTTACACGTTAACGTCACAGTCATCTGAAGAACGAACCCAAACCTTGTTGTTTTTATTAATTGCATTACCAAATTGGTATCAAATAAACAGTAAGCATTGGTAACACAACTTCCAAAGTTACAGTAAAATAAAAAGGACCCTGACTCGGACAATACACAATCCAACATGTTCAACAGAAGATAATCAGTTATATTGTTTGTACACATGGTCCTTTACATATATCTGTTTGTTTAAGGTGTCCAGGTGATGCAGACAGGCTGGACCAGAGAGTGAGAGACAGAACTGGACTCCTCACAGCAGTGAACTTCAGCACAGGTACAAATACTATTTCTTCATACTGTACAAAGAATCAAGAAAGATATTGGTTTAAATAAATGAAGTATTGACTTTAATACACTGATATACATTCCATTAAACAATACTAGATCACCTACACACCAGTGAAGTTGAGGGGTTTTTTTTCTGTGCAAAAAGTTACATTTAGATGTTAACAAGCAATATGATTTTGTCAGCTTTCTAATTTAATGTATTGAAGGCAAAGATATTTAACACATAGTGAGAACTGCTACTATTTATCTCTCAATATTGTCTGTAAAAACGTGGTAAAAGTTATTCTTTCAGTGAGACAACAGAGCAAGCTTCTACAGTTGCACTACGTTTTGTAACAGTTATATATTATTTTGATAATAAAATATATTTCAATGTTGATGAATTTCATACTGTTCATTCATAATCTGATTATCAATGTTGATGAATTTCATACTGTTCATTCATAATCTGATTACAATTACAAAATAATTATATCTACAGCCCCTAAACACACAAACACACCGCTTTCATAAATAACACACTTGTTCTGCAATAATATGTTTTATGTTTCCTGTCATTTTTGTTAGGAAAGGACATGCCTGAAAGACACGACATGTTCTCCTTCTCTGAGGGTCAAGAAGAACATCCAAGAGGAAAATTAAAAACTGATTTTATGAGATTTTAAGACCAGTACAGGACATTCACTTAAGAAACTACTTTTATTGTGAAAACAAAGATCTGCACACCGAATATTTTTGTAGTCTATCAGGACCATCATTTGTTTGTGACGCTGCCTGCACCTCAGAGAAGGGGTGGTTATAGTCAGGGTTATAAAGTGTGGCGAAAAACATAGTCAGCTGATGGGATGCATCTATTTCCACATCTACACTCCATCAGCTGATTATTTCTATTTGCCTCACTTTATGAGCTTCACAACACTTGTGCCTTGTACCGCATGCTTGCAACGTCACAAATAAATGGGGCCAATCTTCAGTCAGATGTGAATGTGTAACTCTATTTTCAGTAAGAATAATGGACGAAAGGAGTGCAAATACAAATACAATTTATTGAAATGTGAACCAAAAGTTAATCAAAAATGTTTTAAATAAAAAGCACATATGGACAGAAGGTGTAAAGCAGGGGTCGGCAACCCCTGGCACGCTTGCCAGCATTGGCACGCGGCACCGTAACCAGTGGCACACTAGGAATAAGTGGAATAAGTGTGCAATAATATTTAAATTGTATTTTCGGATCCTGAACGAGACCGCAGCCAGAGCGCGTAGACCTGCAGAAGGAAGCCATGCACGCAACGCAGCCCCGCCGACTTTCTGCCGCTTTCCTCCGTGGTGCAGTGCTGATCGTTTCACCACGGAGGAAAGCACTAGTGATGTGTCGGTCGCGAACGAGCCGATTCTTTTGAACGGCTCTTTGATATGAACGAGGGGAACCGAGTCGTACTTGGTGAGAGCCGTTCTTGTTATCGTTCAATCGTTTGTCCGCACTCACTGCCTGCCAAAATCCACTAGCCTTTTAAAAAGCTTGATTTTGTTCCCCAAAACGTATTCTGTGAAGACCCACCCCTACTCTGACTGTATCTATCTTCGACACGGAAACCCTGTCTGCTCCTCACAGCAGCTCCTCGCGAGCAGTTGCACGTCGCTTGACCNTAATGTTCAAATCTGAAAAAGGCCTCTTTACCAAGCTCCAAACTAAGTTAAATATCTCAATAAGTGTAAAATCTGAAGAATAATTGTTACACCTTCAGCTGTAACAATTATTCTTCAGATTTTACACTTATTGAGATATTTAACTTAGTTTGGAGCTTGGTAAAGAGGCCTTTTTCAGATTTGAACATTAGTATGTATTGCATAGCTCGTTAAGGCTTAGAGTGCGTGATGTCACAGCTAGTGGACGAGAGCTTGAAATTCGCCTTCATTTTTATTTATTTTTTACAACATTGTGAATTTGAGTTTTCTTGACGGGTCTTATTTTGATTCAATGGAGTGGTGACGTGCTCTATAAAATAAGGAGGCCTGGAGTTCCTTCCCCTGTGAGTGAGAAGCTGGTGAATAATCAAGGTTTTATGTCCCTTAAAAAGCAAAAAGTAACAAACACCCGAACATTTTCAAAAATTGTCTTTCATAAGCAAAATATTGCTAAAGTGATGATCATACTTTCATACTTTTCAATTGTGGAGAAAGTCCTTCTTTTAAATAATTAAAGGCTATACAATATTTAATTACAATTATCCATTAATTCTTGTGTTCATGGCTTTATGAATGCAGCTAAGATTACGCTTACTTTTTAGTTACTTTATACACTGCTGAACCCTTACCCATTTGATTTGATTCATTATCAATAGCACAGTGTAAAAATGACATTCACAAACGACTAAAGACATAATTATATTCAAGAGTAAAATTGTATGTTGTAACAATGTTTTTCTCCGCTGAAAATAATGGATTCAAAATATGTAATTAAATGCTATTCGACAAACACAACTGATGCGTTGCAAACATGACTGAAGTAACAACTACTGTTAGTCCAGGGAAAATACTGTGTGTGAACCAAGGCCTAAAAAAAATTAGGGTTAGTTATGCTTCCAGCTGTCAACTGACCGCCAGCTGGCAAGTGCTGGGATATTTACATTAGTTAGCTACATCTGTAGCTATGTATTTTTTAACAAAATCTGTTATTTTTTCCTGTCTCTTCTAACAATCTTACATTAATCCTGCATATCTCTTTTTCTCTGTTCTTTTCTGTTATATTTATTGCAGGGATCGAGTAGTGAGTTATTCGCTGGGTCGCAGGTTGCCAACAGACCATGTCTGCGCCCCAGCTGCAGTTCCGCTTTGAGTTGACTTCTTCTATTCACCCAGGTACATAAGTCATAATGCCATGTAGCAGTGAAAAATGATAAATTCTGCTCCGCTTGAGTGTTCAGCTTTGAAGTCAACTGTCTTTCTCTTGCAAAGTAACACTTCTCTCTGTAGTGAATCTTCAGTTTGTGTTTGGTTGATGCTATTCTTGTGGAATGTAGGAGTATCAAAAGCTATTTAAAGGTCTCAAGAGTGTAAATCGGCCTTCTAAACTCACAAAACTTTAATTTGCACCACTTCCAAAAGAAGAACTGAATTTAGTCAAGACCCAGACTTGTTTACGGTAGAAATGTCCAAAAAAATGCTCAACACAACCAACATCTCAATTTTCCTTAGATGATGAGGAGATCTCTCTGGTCATAGAGTCAGCCTGTACTCAGGGGGGAAATACACCAAATGACAACCATGCTGCTGATGCTCCTGATGATGACACATTAAGTGTGGGACCTGACATGCCTGATCTTCCCCTGGATGCCCCTCCTGACTCTGAAATGACGGTGGTAACAGCATTCACAGCGGAAGCCTCCACACCTGAGGAGGTCCGTGCTGAGGATGAGGAGGCTGAGTCAACGCCAGAAGAGCAAGAAACTGTGGATGAAGAGAGCACAGTGAGGGAGGAGCCCCTGTCTACAGAGCCACAAGTGGAGAAGGAGCAGGGGGAACTGGCTGAACAGCAAGAAGGGAACAGTGGAGAGGATGGAGAAAGGGAGGAGAGGCAACAAGAAGAAGAAGAGGGGGAGCAGAGAGAAGCGTTTGCACCACAAGCTCAGGAGGATACGACTGGAGAAGAAAATTATGTTGGGGAGGAAATACAGCCAAAGCCAGACTCTGAAAATACTGTTGAAATATCAACAAACAATGGGGCTGTTACTATTGAGGACCCCATGGAGGGAAGCATCACTTCCCAAAAGGCCGATGTAGAACAAAGGGTTGCTCATGAGGTGACAGAGGGCGGAGAAATAAGCTGCCTCCCCTGCACCTGTGAATCCCTCTTCTCAAACTATAACTCTAACGCTCCTTTGCGCCGCAAAAATCGCCCCTGCTCCCTTCCAGTGTCAGAGTTGGAGACGGTGATCGCATCGGCCTGCGGAGAGCCGGAGACACCCAGATCTCACTACATTCGGATCCACCACCTCCTCCACAGTCTCCCCTCAGCCCAACACAGAGCTCCCAGCCAGGAGGAGGAGGAGGTCAGGGAGGGAGAGAATACAAGCACCACTCAAGACACCACTTCCACAAAACTTAAAACCTCCAAAGAGGAGGAGGGGCTGGAGGATGAGGAAGAGGATGATACAACCCTGTCTCCCTCTCAGGTATGGCCAGTGATGGAGTTATGGTAGAATTCCATGAGTTATTCCATAGTAACAAGCATGTACGTTTTAGTAAAAGTAGTGGTCAAAATACTTAATTGAGTGTGATGTAGGGCCCAAAAAAAACTACTTAAATAATGTACCAGCTCACTTCACACTCCTATATTCCTATTTATTTAAAATGACCTTTAAGAAAAGAACAACAAATACTGCAACGGAAATAGCAGTATGATTGACATATAGGTCTCCCTTTAGGCTTTTGGTTTTGCCATTTAATTGTCTAAATATTCCTGATCCAGGTCCCAGAGTGTCCCGGCACCTGCTGTCGTCGCTCCTTACCACGCAGCCTCTCCATTGAACGCCTTTCTGAGCTAAACCAGCTCCTGGAAGGTGATGGAGGAAGAGGAGGTCATACAACAGTGGAGAGAGAAGAGGGGGATTCCAGTCATGGAGGAGGAAGAATAGTTGGCGGTAGCACCCTCAGACATCAGGGTGAGAACGACTGTGAATTCTGCGACACATCCTGCTACAGTACCTCCTGCTACAGCACTTCCTGTTACAGCACATCATGTTACAGCAACTCTGGCTACGAGGGTAGGAGCCACTTTTGTAGCCATACCCGCCTGTCGTCAGTGGACAGCAACAGACTCTCTGGTAGTACGGTGTTCTCCTCCCAGGATGAAGATGAAGATGAGGAAAGTGCCTTTGAGTCAGTACCTGATAGCAGCCTCTTGCCAGATGGCCAAATGGTGAGCGGGGCAGGAGGAGAGAGGAGGACAGAGATGTTGAGGGAGGCCAGGAGAGGACAGCAGGCAGAGCCAGCTGTGCCTGGGCCCAGCGCTATAAACAACATTGGTGAGATAAACATTTTTTTCTTATTGTTTGTTTGCAACTGCAATGTAATGAGTCCAGCCGTAATGAGTTATTGAACGACAAATAAAGTGAGCACACACTGCAAGACTACGTTACTGCTGACTTCCCACTCAATGCAAACACCTGTTAAACACAAGCTTCTCACTCAGTGTTTACGCTATTTAAATAAACATATTTTAAATACATTTAAAAAACATAATGAAATCAGTGTAGTGTAAATGCATATGATCACAATGAGAATATCCAATTACTTTAATATACAGCTTTTTTTATTTAAATGTGCCCTAGATCAGGGGTTCCCAACCCCCCGTCGGCGGACCGGTACCGGGCCGAAATATTATTTCATCCAAAACATACAAAATAAATCAAAATTGGTTAGCATAAGGTCTCAGCCTCTCGTGCGCAGAGAAAGTTACCGGTGCGCCAATAGGAAGTGGAGCACACAGGAGACAACCGTTTCATCGCAGACTGTTTTGTTTATGTGGGGAAATGGCAGTGCATACATTATTTGAGATATATTTCAAACTCGGAGTTCATTTTAAGGACATTGCGGCCAGGGGTGGAGAGCTATTTTTTTATTTGTAAAACCTCCTTCACTTCATGAAATGCCTGCAGCATCAGGACGCAGCCTCTGAGGAGTGCAGCACCAGCGCGTATACACCGCCTTCACTGTGTTCCCCACTGCAAGCTGCTACGTTTCAACCACACACACCTCTACACACACACACACACACACACACACACACACACACACACACACACACACACACACACACACACACACACACACACACACACACACACACACACACACACACACACACACACACACACGAACGGCCCGATTATTCCCCCTATTACTCGTTGTATGAAGGAAACGTCCGGACACAAAGGCGCATGATGTGTGTGTGTAAGTGCTGTGCTCAGCTCCGCTGTGTGTGTGTGTATGTTCGGTGTGTTTGTGTATGTCCAACAACGGCATTTGTTTTCAAATGACCAGGAACAGTAATTTACACACATCTGGCCAACTCCATAGGTATGTGGGTGTTCCCAAAATAAGTTAGTTTAATCTTAATCTCTTAGTATGTAGTGCTAAATGCTGTCGTAGTGCACCGGAACGAACGCTCCGGTATGACGTTATGGCCCAGGGGTCTCACTGACATTTCAGTTATATCAATATGTGTACATTGGTCATAATTTGTTTTAATTGTATCCTGGTTTTCAAACTTTATTAATATTTTTGGATTCATAGTGTTCTATTATTTGTTCAGGCTGTTACATACAATTAGCCACTTTTGCCACCTATATTAGGCTATATTATATTATATATTATATTAATATTTGTAAAGCGGTCCTAATTTTTTGTTTTAATTGTATCCTGGTTTTAAACGTTGTTAATATGTTTTGGATGCATATTGGTATTTCTTCAGGCTTCAAATCAGTTAAAATTGACAACTGGTCCGCAATTATTTTTGAATGTATCTGCCGGTCCTTGGCACAATAAAGGTTGGGAGCCCCTGCCCTGGATAACATTCAAAATGTTTAGTTAATTTAAACAAGGTCTTTACAAACTGTAACAAATGTTTTACTTTCATCTTATAATTAAGTAACTCCGATTAGAACATGTATCATGGAATTCACTGTGACATGAGGGGGGATCACCCCTTATGCACGTTAATGTCAGTAATTATTGGGGACCTATAATCAAACGTTTTTGAGTTTTTCATTAGTTTTTGTGCATAGAAATGACACTTAATAAACAAGACAGACTTTACGTACTATCAGCAAAACAAACAAAACAGAAAAAGAAAGAAAGAAGAAAAGAAAATAGAAACATAGCCCAAATAATATTGTCTTCATTCTCTCAATCATGTAGACCAGGGGTGGGGAACCTTTTTCCTCTCAAGGGCCATTTCAATTTTTTCAACATCCTCCGAGGGCCGTACAAATTATTGACCTCTGCTTAAAAATACAAAAAGCACAGCCGATTCATTTGGCCTTTCTTTCATGCTGTGCAAAGAAAAAGCAACCTCTTCATCCAGATATCTTACCATGACTCGTGCATGCATGCACGTGCACGGTGTGGCATGACCACCAAAACAGAAAGTATATTGGACACAAGATGTGTGCAAATGTGTTTAGTTTCCTATCCATGTGGACATGATTTAATTGGGGGGGGGGACCTAACCTCCTCTAGGGGGGTCCTCACCTCCTCCAGGGGGGTCTGTGGGGCATGCACCCCCTGGAAGATTTTTTTTTAAATGTTGAAGTTGTAAGCATCAATCTGGTGCACTTTGAGAGCAACATTAGGAGATCTGTGGACATCTCTCAACATCCATATGAAACAGAACTGTAAGCAGATTTATTTTTCTTTATGGATATTTCACAAATCACTCCCCTTTCAAACTGTATTCTTGTTTATTAATAACAACTTGTATTTACTGTCATATAGTATTTTATACCTGTTTACTTTATTCTCTTATTGTTTTATAACTATAATGATCATATAAAGATGTGCCTTTACCTCACTGGTTGGAGAAAAAGCTTCTTATATTCGTTAGCATAGCTAGCTAACCAGATGCTAATAACAACATAGTTATTGACTGTATGATCAGTATGACAGATGAACAGATCGCCACTGGGCTTTCAACTAAGACACAGCCACGCAAAAACTGCGGATGTTGTACGGCTCCTTATAGAGTGGCGAAGTCGCGCCCACTTACTTCTGCATCATGGGACCTTATTCCGAAAAAATAATACATTGAAGTCAATGGAGAGAGAAAACTTATCTTTTGATCCCGTTTGAATTGTGCCATGAATTACACATATGTTGTTTGTCAATCTTAAAAAATCATTTCCATGTCAAAAAATTCAAAGTTTGTC